AGCAAGTATTAGAAGAACACTGCAAGCCAAGTATTAAAAAAAAATAACCAAAGATTTTTATTATGTAAAGTAGTTTTTGAGTGGCATGAGGTTTTGCCATATGTTCAGTTTTATGATTTTAATTTATAAGTAGAAGCTTCTAGAAAAAAAATGCTGTTTACTTCTGCGCATCTTTACACATTTTCTAGAATTGAGTTCTGAATTAAAGTAAGACATTTTAAAAATCAATGGTCTTCGGTGAAAACCAGGCTGAGTAAAACTGAATACACGCTGCATCTATCCAGAATGTGAATATCAAAGAAGCCACTGACTCCTCCTTTAAGTATCCTGCAGGAAAGGTGCAGTCTGGCCTGTTAATAACTCGTGAATGCAGATGAAACAGCAAAAGCAAAACAATAAAACATCTCCAGTACTAATTTTTTTTCTTTTGAGCAGCAGACGTTTTAAAGTGAAATTTTCTTTCTTCTGTCACCGCTGTAAGACTGCCTACCGAATAGCAACAAAGGCTGTGAGCGAAAGTCTGCTCCAGCATCATGTAAAATACTTCCCATTTTAATGCCTCTAAGTTTCCATACCGACCATATTTTAAAGAAATCTCATGAAGTTGCCTCAACTCTGACAGCCTAACAGGTATGTCTGTTTCATTGTATCTGCATTGTGAAGTCTCTGAATTCATTTGGGGAGAACACTGAAATCAGTCCCCAGAGGCCTCTTCCCCATGCATTAGAATAGAAAATCCTATGGGATTACATTTATGTTTGCTCTCTAAATTATACCAAAAGCTCAGTTTTATTAAGTATAATCTTCTTAGCCATGCATAAAATAAAATACTTAGGTTTAGATGTGAGTTTATGTGCATTTATACTGATTTTCAATGAAAATATTTTTCTACACACAGGCAAATATATTCTGCTTAGTATGTGTTAGTATCATAAAAGGTAATATAACACTTTCATCATTGCGTTTTGAGGTCACATCATTATATTTATTAATAACAACTTATAATTTATATAAGGGGGAGCTACTATGGATAGCACCATTTTTTTTTGCTTCCATTATTTTAAATTATTAAGAAAATAGACCTTTATTGTGGGGAAAGTTTACACATTTAAACATGGCAGTAATTTAAAGTTATATCAGACTCTGGATCCAGAAAAAAAATTGTCATTTTAATTGAGTTATAAAATACTTTATTTGAAATATTTATGTGTAAGAGTGTAGAAGGGTTGCAGTCACATAAATGCAGAATTTCAGTTCCTTTTAGCCTAAAGCATCGTTTTAACATTTTCTGAAAGGTTGTTCAATTCTACATTTTGATTCCATTATATGTGTAATTAAACCTCCATGCACAAAAGCATTCTCTTATGTACTAGCAAATATACCCACAGGAATTCTCTCCTAAACTATAATTTATTTAAACATGTAATCATAGGATTTTAAAACATGCTTTCATTTTTCCAAACTATATGCCAATTTGAACTGCTTTGAGATAAAATGGGAGATTTTATTGCCATTTTGGTTTTTTTTCCTCTGTGACCCAACAGTGAGTTAAACATGGGCAGGAGGAAATAAAGAAAATCCATTGTGAACCAAATTCCATGTGTTGAACTGTTTCCGTTTTGGACAAAATAGAAAAAAATAAAAGAGTTGTCATTGTTTATGAATTCCAAACAATATGAACATTTGGGCCTGCAGAAATTTCTCCTGGGGCTTAGTTAGCCTAAGTAGTAAATAGCTAATTTTGTGTGTGTGTGTGTGTGTGTGTGTGTGTGTGTGTGTGTGTGTGTGTGAGCGCGCGTGCGTGCGTGTGCTTGTGTGAGAGTGTTTCTGGAACATTGTGGAGTCGGGCCCCCTACTGACAAGATCAGTCAATTGCAGACCTTGTCTTTACTCCTGCGGTTTTATCCCTTCAGAATCAAGTGGGAAAAAAAGCAGTCTGAGGTTTTGAGCACCGACCTTGTGTACTTCCCGATCTGTGCACTGGATCCTTACCACCTGGAGCATGTGCGAGCCCTGCTCCAAACTCCAACTTTAGAATAGTCTCAGCCAAGAATTAGTATAAGCGAGTTTGAGTCTTTCCTAAGTAGTAGTAACATCCCAGGAAGCTGAAGATGAATTTGAAAAGAGGGAAAACTCACACACGGATGTCTTCACTTTCTCTCATATACATGTTATCATGAATCTATTCTCACTTATTATTGTACTAAATTGCTATGACCACTGCCTTTTGATTTTGGGTATATCACGACTTGAAGCAAAGGCTCTTATTAGAGAACCATGAACCGCAAGTTGCTAAAGAATAATAAGTCACATTACTGTGCTTGTTCCGTGGTGCTCAATATAAAAACTCCGGGCCCCCTTTCCTCTCTCTGGTCGGGCATTTTTCAAAATGTCCTCAGACTCAACTCAACCCAAACTGAGTGTTTTCAATGACTGAGGGAGAGGAGTGTTCAGAGGGCAACAGATCTACTTAGCCGCATTTGTGTAGGGAGGGCTGTGGTTACGATCTTAAACTTCTCTTGGTACTCACTCTCCTGGAACTGTATTAAAAAATAATAACTTCCACCCCAGTGTAGCTAAGCTTGGGTTTCCGACTGTCTGAAAATAGCTGCCGGGAACCTGGCCCACCGCGTGGATCAAGGAAAGCTCCCCCTGACCGCACCCTGCTCCCTCACGGAAGGGGAAGGGAACCCGGGAGGGCGCCTGTGAGCTGGAGTTGCTGCTATTTTGGGCCCAGCCTGGCCGGTGCGTCAATGCCTGCGCCCCTGCGTCACCGCCACCCCCACCCCCTTCCTTCTCCATTGCTCTCCAAACTCTCACTTTTTCCCTTTCGTTCGCGTGGAATCGCTTCTGCCCACGGGCCGCTGACGCTGCCGAGCTCACACTAATAAGCTGTTCTTCACCCTGCCCCCTCTTGCACCCTCCCCCCACTTCCTGGTTTTATTTTATTATTTTTTTTTCTCGCGCCCACTAGGGCACTGCTGAGCCGTAGCGGCAGCAGCTGGAGAAGCAGCCGCAACATCTGGGGGAAACTTAAGGTGGTCACGTAGGTTTCCCCGAGGCTGATGCACAGTGGAGCCCGCGGCTTGTCTGGGCAGCCGCAGGGCACCCTATGGCAACGCCTCTGCAGCCGCAGGCTGGCTCCGCACGGAGCCGGCAAAGGCGGAGGTGCAGGCTAGGAATGAGCAACCCCACAACCCTCAGAGTTGCGCGGTGCTCTCCACCGGTGCTGGGATCACCGAGAGGGGGCCGAGTTGCACATCGCACAGCCCCCCTCCCCCGGAAAGGAGGGGAGGAGGAGCGCTGTCCTGGGCGGAGAAGGGGACCCTCCAAAGTCGTCCTCCCTCGGCCCCAGCCCCTTCCTGGTCTCAGGAGAAAGCCTAGGAGGTCAGCCGCCCAGTTTCTCTGGGGTACTGGGAGAAAGGGCTAGCCCTCCGGAGGAGGGGCGATCCCTTTGCTAGAAAGATCCACGCGCTTGGCGGGCGGATTGTCTTGCAGAGCACAGCGGGAGGCGACTCTGAGGACCACGGTGGTAGGACACGCTCGCACAGCCCACGGGGACCCTGGGCTGAGGCGATGGGCACACACTCCCGTTCCCCCCTCCCTCTCCCAGGGACACCGCACGGCCCACCACCGCCTCGGGTTCCACTCCCTTTGCCGCTTTTCCCACCATGCTTTCTTCTTGGTTGCGGGTACAACAGCCCTTGCGTTTCAGAAACCTGTGAGAAGGAACAGGACGGGCTTGGTGGGCACAGCGAAATGTCAACGCTGTTAAGAGTTGACCGAAGGGATGGATCAGATCACCTTCCTGCTGGAGGCGCACCTGTTGCCGTCTCTTTGATGCATTGTCTGCAAAAGAAAAGCAGGCAACAGTTCACTCCTACTCGTGGGGTCCTCGAAGGCCTGCCTCAGTGTCTACCTTCTCTTCCCCCACACCCCTTTAAGCATTAATAGCTTTTTAGTTGCAGGAAAGAGGGGGCAAGAAAAATGGGCCCCATCTTCTTATCTCTAGAAGGAGGGTGGAAGACTGAGATTGAAAAAGGAAGAAGGGGATGCACGGACTAGCGAAATCCCATCTAACGCCCAAACCCTTGGAGAGCTACGAGTCACGGGACATCTGTCTGCACTTCCGCTAAGGACTGTGTGGAGGGTGATGTTGGGAAGCAACAAGGCACACCTCTGCCCGTGCGGCCCAGGTGCCAGCTACCTGGCCCACGCCAGCGTTCTTTTCCGTTCAAGCTTTTGTTGCCCCCTCCCCATGTGTGAGGAGGACTCAGGGCCTGGGGGCAGGTGAAGCGTAGCATCACCGCAGGTTTCACGGACCAGGGTTGCAGAAGTCACACTTCTTTCGGAAAAAAAAAAAAAAAAGAAAGAAAAAACCACCCAAGTGGGCTACCAAGGTGAACGGAGAACCGTTCCCACCTTAAAATCAGCCTCAGTCGTGACGTCAGGTCGGAAATATACCAAAGCGAGCGCGGGCCAGGAGTCCGGGGAGCGCGGCAGCGCGGCGATTGGACCGCGGGCCGCTGACGCGCGCTGACGCGCGCAGACTTTAGGTGCATGTTGGCAGCGGCAGCCCGAGCCACATAAACAAAGGCACATTGGCGGCCAGGGCCAGTCCGCCCCGCGGCTCTGCACAGCTCCGCGTCCCTCTCGCTTGCCCCGCCGGCTGCCTGCCTCTTCTCCCGCCGGGCTGGCGGCGTGTGGCTCCCCCGCGCCCGGATCCCGCAGCGCTCCCGCGGACCCCGGAGCCCCGGCTTCCGAAAGGAACTGCACTTCGGCGGAGTTGAATGAATGAAGAGAGCGGAGAAGTGAGTAAGTGCGGCGGTGCCGCCGGTGGTCTCGCGTCCTCCGGGTCTCCGAGTACCGGGAACAGGTTCTCTGCAAGTGGGCGCCAGAGACGCGGAGCGCGATGGGGCTGGGGGTGGGTGGGTGGGGGAGATGGCGAGTGGGCGCGCGCGGCTCAGCCGAGCCTTTGCTGGAACTTGGGCTGGAGCGTTAGGGGGGGAGTTGGCTGCCGGCAGAGCCTTCCAGGCTTCTCATTGGTGGATGTGGAAGGGGGACTCCCACAGTTTTAGGAGATGCGGACTTGTCTGCGGAGATGTGCGCAAAGTTTGCTCTTGGTGTGAAATGGATTGTGGCTTGTTGGAGACTCCAGATCTCATGAACATGTGGGAAACAGTCCGGGAGAGAAAGTTTATGCGTTGCTTGGGAACAGTGTCGCTCAGCTCGCCCGCGTGCGGATGTTTCCCGGGTATCGTCGTGTAAGGGTGGTGTCGTAGAGTGTCCTGTTGCTAAGTTGCCTGAAATTTCTGGTTTTGATAAATGCTGTCCTTGGGTAGTGTGCCAGCGTGTGTGCGTGAGGTAAAGAGTGCAGTTATAAAACCGTGACACTGCTAGGGGTTAATATCCAGCACAGACGTATTTCCAAGGGCGGCGGCGGATGCGGGGGGGGGGGGGGATCAAGAGTCCTTTTTCTTTTTACTTTTTTTTTTTCTGGTTAACCTTCTCCACTCCTTGAAGCAAGATCATGGAAGAAGGGAGAGAGGGAGCAGAAGGAGCGGGTGTTGGGTTTCTTTATCTTTATTAACAAGTCTGTCTATGCTCTAGAATGCCTTGCCAAGTGGGAACGTCTGAAAATTGCTAGGACACAAGAGTGCCTTGTCCCAGCAAGTAGGCAGCCTGTGGAAAACATTGTGGAGAAGGTGTTTAGCTTGCTGTGCTTCTAACTTTGGTGCCAATATTATATGCGTAATATCTCCTTTCCTCTGCAGTTGACCCAAGATACTTCTGGTAAAGTAGAGGTCTCTCTCATCACCTCTGGGCCATTAAAGGTGTTGAAAATCCAGTTCTCTGGAGGAACAGCAATTCACTTGTACCCTCACCCCCAGTACTGGGTCAAAAGCAATTACAAATGCTGTACATTTGTGTCCAAACTGGCTTCTAGGTTGTCCAGGCCTTGCTAACATTTTCTAAGCGTGGGATCGCTATTGTTTTTTTTTTCCACTGTATATTCTTGAGGTCTACTAACTTTCTTTTCCTTTCTAAAAGGAAAGTCCGTTTGTCTACAAGAAAAATACCTAAGAGAAGGCTTCCACCCCGTGCTTTCTCTCTAGCTCAGTCTTCTCAGTCAGGTTTGAAATAAAGTAGAATGAAAATGACCCTTCCAATCTATAGCAAAGGGGCCAATTCATTATATTGTTAAGTATCAAGTAGGCTCATGGGATCACTTCCCTCCAGGATGCTTTTTTCTGCGGGGATTTACAGTGAGAGACGAGTGGCGTTATCTGCTGTTTAGCCACGTCTTTGCACGTCCTTAATTTAAGCTACAGTTTGTTAAAGTCTTCACACTCATTCCTAAGGAGGCACGGAAGGGCCTGCCTGTGAGACTGCCTCTGCCCAGCCAAATCTCGGTGGGAAAACATCCTCAAACTTCCTGTGTCTGTATTTCAGGGAGATCTGACGGGCTGGATTCCCAATTGCTTTTTTAAAAATCTTGGAAACTTTGTCCTTCGTTGAATTACGACACTGTCCACCTTTAATTTCCTCGAAAACTCCAATAACTCGGCTGAAGGTTAGTGAACTTTTCCTTTCATTACCTTTCCCGAGTTCCCCCATATCCAGAAACACAGGGCAGCAGGATTTCCTTCGGCCTGCCCTGTGCCTTATGGTCACAGAGAACAAGTTTCTCATTGTGCAATTCAACTTCATTTCTGGACCATGGGTTCTAGAAATCCTGTCGACCCTGAGCTTCAACGTAGAGGCTCATCATATTGGCTGTGGGAAGGGGGTGGAGCGGGGGGAGCATTTGGAAATATCCGGGAGTGTAGACCCTCAACAGCTTTCCAGCTCTGGGTCGTTTGGGGATCATCAGCCCTTTCCTTTCTTCACTACTGCTCCGACCTCTTTGGCCCTTCCCCTCACACCCCCTACCCTCTCTCTGACGCCGCGGGCTGCCGGTGTAGCTCCAGGTGTACCTGAGCCCGGAAGAAAGTGTTCAGTTGACCAGGCTGAGTGTATATCACCCTGTTTCATTTCCAGCCATGCCTTGTGTTCAGGCGCAGTATGGGTCCTCGCCTCAAGGAGCCAGCCCCGCTTCTCAGAGCTACAGTTACCACTCTTCGGGAGAATACAGCTCCGATTTCTTAACTCCAGAGTTTGTCAAGTTTAGCATGGACCTCACCAACACTGAAATCACTGCCACCACTTCTCTCCCCAGCTTCAGTACCTTTATGGACAACTACAGCACAGGCTACGACGTCAAGCCACCTTGCTTGTACCAAATGCCCCTGTCCGGACAGCAGTCCTCCATTAAGGTAGAAGACATTCAGATGCACAACTACCAGCAGCACAGCCACCTGCCCCCTCAGTCCGAGGAGATGATGCCACACTCCGGGTCGGTTTACTACAAGCCCTCCTCACCCCCGACACCCAGCACCCCGGGCTTCCAGGTGCAGCACAGCTCTATGTGGGACGACCCGGGGTCTCTTCACAACTTCCACCAGAACTACGTGGCCACTACGCACATGATCGAGCAGAGGAAGACACCTGTCTCCCGCCTTTCGCTCTTCTCCTTTAAGCAGTCGCCCCCGGGCACTCCTGTGTCTAGCTGCCAGATGCGCTTCGACGGGCCTCTGCACGTCCCCATGAACCCGGAGCCCGCGGGCAGCCACCACGTAGTGGATGGGCAGACCTTCGCCGTGCCCAACCCCATTCGCAAGCCGGCATCCATGGGCTTCCCGGGCCTGCAGATCGGCCACGCGTCTCAGTTGCTTGACTCACAGGTGCCCTCTCCGCCGTCCCGGGGCTCTCCCTCCAACGAGGGTCTGTGCGCGGTGTGCGGCGACAACGCGGCCTGTCAGCACTACGGTGTTCGCACTTGTGAGGGCTGCAAAGGTTTCTTTAAGGTGAGCAAGACTGGGCGGAGGTGGCAGGTAGCGACGACCTTGTGCCAGAGACCCAGGAGTGTGCCCTAGCCTTCTGGTAGGCAGCCCAGCTCTAGGTCCCTGAAACTACCCACGGGCTGCCGAAGGGGCTTCGGGGTGTCTAAGGAAAGAAATGAGCAAGACCGGGAGAGTAAGGGTTTCAGCGTCCCCCTCCTCCTCGCCCCACAGCAACCTGCCGCCCCGGCGGGCTCCCGCCCGAAATTGCTGGAGCTAGAGTTGGAAGAGGGTTATTTGCATGTGTTAGGCTCTGTCTTCCTTGTTCAGATTGAAATTGGTTAGGACAGAGAACCGTGTCTGAGCTAACCAAGTGGAACAGAATTCCCTATGGTCAAATTAAGTGATCTCTTTATTTCGCCATCCTGATTGAATAATCTTATCATTTTAAATAGAGAAGGTCTCCAAGGAATGTAAATAATATGAATGCCCACGGATTTGTATTTACTGAGCGTCTCCTGCTCCTTCTCCTGGCATATAAAACACAGCAAGGAGCGGCAAGGTTAGCTCAAATGTTAACGCTATCAATTTTCTTCTGGTAAATGCCCTGGGGGAGGAAAAGGAAAGGAAATAGGAAGAAAAGAACAAGAAGAAAATTTTTTTTAAAGGAGTAGTGTTTGTGTTTGTAGGGAAGGGACACAGACCCAAGACATTAAAAAAAAGTCTCCGGTTTACTGGTCTTTGAATTAAAAAATAATAATTTTTGGCCTACATTCTTTCCCTCTGCAGCGCACGGTGCAAAAAAACGCGAAATACGTGTGTTTAGCAAATAAAAACTGCCCAGTGGACAAGCGCCGCCGAAATCGTTGTCAATACTGTCGATTTCAGAAGTGCCTGGCTGTTGGGATGGTTAAAGAAGGTAGGTTGGGGCAAGCTGCTGACCTCTTGTTCTGTGACCTTGAAAGACCACCAGCTGCTTGTGGACCCTGCTCCCTGCCTCCCCCTCCCCACACACACGCCAGGATCCCAATGCCAAACGGCCCAGCCTTCTCTAAAGAAAGGCACCGGGGCCCTCTTGGTCTTCGACCCAATTGGAGAAAGGTATAAAATATCTCCCCCCCTTTTTTTGCTTTAATGCTTCTCATTAGTAAAGTCTTTATGAGCAAGAGGAGCCCTGGGCCACCAGGTCTGGCGTCCACTGCCGCTTCTGGGGAGAACCCTGTGAGGCAGCTGAGTCTGGGCTCAAGGGAACAATGTTAACCGGGCTATTCCTTTACAGTGGTTCGCACCGACAGTTTAAAAGGCCGGAGAGGTCGTTTACCCTCGAAGCCGAAGAGCCCACAGGATCCCTCTCCCCCCTCACCTCCGGTGAGTCTGATCAGTGCCCTCGTCAGAGCCCATGTCGACTCCAACCCGGCTATGACCAGCCTGGACTATTCCAGGGTAAGAAGCCAGTGGGGCTTATCATGTGAACAAACGAACAAATGGGCAGGACCCTCTCCCTATAATCAGCTTAAGGCCCCAGACTCCAGGGTAAGGGAGGCAAACCAGGATATATGCTTCACAGCTCTGGGCATGGCTCCAGGAGACAGAGAGGTGATGTAGCTGTAGTGTAGACCTGAGCACAGGCCAGAGAGGTTGAATCTTTGTGAACTCTATTGCCTGCGGACCATCCCTCCACCTGAGGTCTGAAAGGCAAAACCCAGACTGAGACTATGCCTCACCTTCCTTCTCAGATCTACTTTATGCGAAGTTTTTGGGATGCCGCCTCTCCCTTTCCCGCCCCCCATGAAGAATCGGACTTGCTTGGGGCCAGGGAATGAGAAGAGGATGGGAGGAATAATAACTGGGGGAGGGCGTCGTCTCGGGGTCAGGGATCAAGCGCTGCAATTCCTCTTTTACTCCAGTGGTGAAAATGTGCAGGCTTCCTTCTGTTGGAGGGAGTGTGGGCAAACCTAGTAGCGATGACTGCAATATTATTAAGCTTTGCAAAGGGCGCCTCCGCTCAAGACCCACTCTGGGATTAGCATGAATACTACCGTGTCAATTGTTTTGTGGAGATAAGACTGAACGTTTCCCAGGGCTGGATGGCACTGTATTTAGTCTGTATGGAAATGGTAATTTACATATTTAAAGCAGCGACCTCATAGCACCGTCCCTAATTGAATTAATTGCCCCGGAACATCTAATTTCCTTACTGGTCAGAGAGAGGTTTAATTGTTATAAAAACCTGGCTCCCCTACTAGAAACGGGGTTAGCAATTTCACGGGTTATATATTTTAGAGAACCTCATTAAGTGCTTTTTAAAATGAAATTCCAGTTCCAGGCAAACCCTGACTATCAGATGAGTGGAGATGACACCCAACATATACAGCAATTCTACGATCTCCTGACTGGCTCCATGGAGATCATCAGAGGTTGGGCAGAGAAGATCCCTGGCTTTGCTGACCTGCCCAAAGCTGATCAAGACCTGCTTTTTGAATCAGCTTTCTTAGAATTATTTGTTCTGCGATTAGCGTACAGGTAGGTAATGAGGGAGGCCTGGAGAGGAATGAGGAAGTAAAGGAAAGGGAGAAAAAAAAGGGGGGAGGGGGTTTGGGGGAGGGGTAAGATTTTTAAAAAGGTGGGGAAGGGAAGGAGTGAGCCCAGAAGCCTTGGGTGAATGGAGTGGAGGTGGGATAGAGGAGTTCTTGATTGTTATGAAATTAAACCCTTGCAAGGTCCACTGGTCTACATTTTATTAACTCTTCAGTAATTAGGTGCCTCTTAAATCCCTCATTTATTGCTCTTCAAGTAATTAGTTGTTTAGCTTCTCTCTCTCTCTTTTTTTCCCCTCTCTCTTTGGTATTAATTGCAGGTCCAACCCAGTGGAGGGTAAACTCATCTTTTGCAATGGGGTGGTCTTGCACAGGTTGCAATGCGTGCGTGGCTTTGGGGAATGGATTGATTCCATTGTTGAATTCTCCTCCAACTTGCAGAATATGAACATCGACATTTCTGCCTTCTCCTGCATTGCTGCCCTGGCTATGGTCACAGGTCAGTACTGCTGGTGCAGGGCACTTCCCCTTCAGAACTTCCTCTGGTGGGAACTGGTCATGGCTTTCCCTAGTCACAGATTTTCTCTGACTCTGCCAGCTGACTAACTCCCTATGCATTCTTCTTTTGTTCCGATTGCATTTTCTGCAGAGAGACACGGGCTCAAGGAACCTAAGCGAGTGGAAGAGCTGCAAAACAAAATTGTAAATTGTCTTAAAGACCACGTGACTTTCAATAATGGGGGCTTGAACCGACCCAACTATCTGTCCAAACTGTTGGGGAAGCTCCCAGAACTCCGCACCCTTTGCACACAGGGGCTCCAGCGCATTTTCTACCTGAAATTGGAAGACTTGGTACCGCCACCAGCAATAATTGACAAACTTTTCCTGGATACCTTACCTTTCTAAGATCTTCTCCCATGCACTTCAAAAGACCTGGAAAGAAAAACTATCCAGAGGGGGCTGGTCATGGGCAGAGAGCTGGCTAAGCTGTTCAGTTCATGTCCTCTCCCTTCTGTAGACCCCTAACCCCATTCCTAAAGTAAACAAACAAACAAACAAGCAAACAAACAAAAACTATTTCCTAACCTGCAGGCAGAACCTGAAAGGGCATTTTGGCTCCGGGGCATCCTGGATTTAGAAAACGGACAACACACAGTACAGTGGTATAAACTTTTTATTATCAGTTCAAAAATCAGTTTATTGTTCAGAAGAAAGATTGCTAATGTACCATGGGAAATGTTTGGTCATGCTTGCTTGTTACAGTTAAGACAAATGTAACACACACACACACACACACACACACACACACACACACACACACTCCTTAAGGGGACCCACATATTTTGCCCTTTAACAAGACTTCAAAGTTTTCTGCTGTAAAGAAAGCTGTAATATATAGTAAAACTAAATGTTGCGTGGGTGGCATGAGTTGAGGAAGGCAGAGGCTTGTAAATTTATCCAATGCAGTTTGGCTTTTTAAATTATTTTGTGCCTATTTATGAATAAATATTACAAATTCTAAAAAGTAAGTGTGTTTGCAAAAAAAAAAAAAAGAAAATAACTACATAAAAAGGGACAAGCATGTGATTCTAGGTTGAAGATGTTATAGGCACTTGCTATTTCAGTAATGTCTATATTATATAAATAGTATTTCAGACACTATGTAGTCTGTTAGATTTTATAAAGATTGGTAGTTATCTGAGCTTAAACATTTTCTCAATTGTATAATAGGTGGGCACAAGTATCAACACATTGGAAAATCCTGACAAAAGGGACACATAGTGTTTGTAACACCGTCCAACATTTCTTGTTTGTAAGTGTTGTATGTACCGTTGATGTTGATAAAAGAAAGTTTATATCTTGATTATTTTGTTGTCTAAAGCTAAACAGAACTTGCATGCAGCAGCTTTTGACTGTTTCCAGAGTGCTTATAATATACATAACTCCCTGGAAATTACTGAGCACTTTGAATTTTTTTTGTTTTTTTTTTTACGTCTAAAATTGTCAGTTAATATATTATTTTATGTTTGAGTAAGAATTTTAATATTGCCATATTCTGTAGTATTTTTCTTTGTATATTTCTAGTACGGCACATGAGATGAGTCACTGCCTTTTTTCTATGGTGTACGATGACAGTTAGAGACGCTGATTTTTTTTTTCCTGATAAGTTCTTTCTTTGAGAAAGACAACTTTAATGTTTACAACAATAAACCACGTAAATGAACAGGACTTTGTCTTATTTCTGGGTCAGGAAAAAAAAGCTATGACCGAATAACACATATAAGAAAGAGGCAAAAGTGGAGATTGATTTGGGGTAGGTCACTTCCATGACATCTGACTTCCAGAGTGACGGCCTGCATCCATTGTGGCAAAAGGAAGGGTGTAATTGAACTAATTATCTAGAGAATTCAGTGCAATATTTTTCCTTAGCTGGACTTTTCCAGTCTGGTGACCTACATTTATCAGAATGAATTTAGAATATCTTACTCTTGTAAGTTTTGAGTGAGTACAGGTTTCAAAAGGCAAGTTTAGGAGATCAAAAAGTTCCTAAACTTTTCTAAGGTTCGGGATCTTTCGAAGTTGTTGTGGGCAGCCTTCAGGAAGTTAGTGCTTGAGACTCAGAAAGGCCACACTGATTTGAAAAGTCTTGTACTTTTTATCTTTGCCTTTTCAATTCCTGTGCATGCTGGTATGAGTGTGGGAGGTGGAGCTCAGGGTCTCTGGCCCTCGGAGTCCTGAGTCAGCCTTCCCGGTTGAGCTCTGTAGAAACATTTCTTACATTATTCCCCTGCCTTGGTGGGTGGTGATGAGGTATAATCTGCACTTTTAGAATGATGATTCCACCTTTTAAATATTCCAGATTAAAAGAAAAATCTTTGTCAGGCTTCCGATTTGATTTAAGTAAGATGGGGCTCTAACATGTCACCCCACACCAACTTTCCACACCAACCCACTGTGTTGGGTTGAGCTGGCTCTCAGCCTCTATCCTTGGGCAGATGGTAGTTTAGTTGTGCCCTAGGAAAAGAGCCGCAAGATGGGCTGATCACATTAGCTGACCCTGGCTAATTACAGATGGCCTTTAGGTCACCGAAATTTACAAAAGGTATTGTTTTAAAAATGGATTGTCATAACTGTACTGCTGCCAGAGCTGTCAGCTTCCCGCCTCCCCCCCCCCCAAAAAAAACCCAAAAAACAGTTGTTTTGTGGCTGGCATTTTGAGACAAGGAAAGTCCCCTGTGGTAGTTTAAAACTATTTTTACTTGGTGGGTTTCTCTCCGAGCACCCGAGGGGTAAAGGAGGAACGTTACATAGGATATCAAACAACAAGGAAACGTCCAATTTCTTAGTATATATATATATATATATATATATATATATATATATATATATATATGATCAGATCAGATATTTCATTTTATTTTTACATCTTATTTTGAGTCAAAGCCACAAACTCTTAAGCAGACAGAATGAGCTCGCCTCAGCGCTCTTCTCCCAGGTGTCTTCGGAAGTCCCGAGACAATTACATTCCACCGCAGAATCCCTGAGAGTTGATCCCAAGAAACAATCCTAAGGCTGACTCTCCTTTAAGGAAGCCTCAAGCATCATCGGAGGCCAATGGGGGCGTCGGTATAGTGAGCCTCTGGAGAATTAAGAGCGAAAGGGGAACCATGTTCTCTTTGCTCTCCAGACTGCACCTTCTGCGCTAGTTATGATTCCTAATTCGCCTCTATTATGATTTCTGCGTCACAGTAATATTCCAACTCTGAGCTCACATTGGCCTATAATCTCTTCCTCTTCCGTGTCTTCAAGGGTTCTTGTTGCCTAGAACTCTTTCCATCTTAGGTTTTCTTTCTAGGAACAAAGTCGAGGAAGACCCACAGATGCTCTACATTGTCAAAACAAAGTGTAGGGAACTTCTTCAGGAGGAGGTCTAACTTTATAAGGAGGACTTCCTATTATTCATCTCCGCTCCTCAGTGACCCTTGAGTTTCATTTATGGAGTGTCATTTCAGCAATGGAAAATACACGGTCATTGTTCCAATGTCATGGCCAGTGTCTCAGGTCTGAGAAAAGGTCTATTTTAAAATCTTCGCGGTCTAGTCCCACGTTGAGAGGCTGCCCAGAACGCTCTGGCTCTTTGGAGAGATGGCCTTAATTAAACAAGAACAGACCAGCAGTTCCATTGCCTGGTGTTCTCCGACTTCCGCCTTTCTGGGTGTCCTGCCCTTCCTCGATCAGACTTTTGGCTTTCTGAAATAGGTCAGAGGGCGCTTAGGAGGCGCGTGTGTGCGTGTGCATGTGCGTGTGCGTGTGTGTTTATTGAATTGCTGGTCCTGATTCTGATACAGAGGTACGCATGGTCCAGAGTTATAGCATCAAGCCACACCCACGGCACAGATCTGGCCTTCAGTACTTCTTTCTTGTACCAGCCTGGACTTTATCCCTAGAGGGTTTGGGGATCCTATCTCCTAGAAGTACCAGCTGTAAGTCTATGGGCCGCTAATCTGTGTACAGGGGGTCCAGCGAAGCCACAGATTTTCCTGACTATTTAAGAAAGTCACTTGAAGGTTTAATTTCACGTTCTGTGAACAATCTATTGGCTTTCCGGGTGTCATTCCTTATATTCAATTATCTAATTATCTTTTAAGCCAGAACGTCCCCAGTGAAGAAATACTTTAAGATACAAACAGGAGTGCACAGGTTAATGCCCTCCAATTCCTTTGTAATATTTTGACCACAAAGTTTTCCTGTATGGGATGTATTTCCATCTCCCCAGACCCTATAATGGGTAGCAATACCAGAGCACTCCCAAGGAAGCACGCGGTGCATCTTCCAGCCATCAGCTCCTGGCGTCGCTTAGCTGTGCGCTTAGCTGTGCACGCGCACCCGTTTCCTTTTTTATCCACCGCGTGGGCTGAGGCTCTCTGGGGCGGGCCTCACCTCCCTTGGTGGGATAGGTGTTTGTTTATTTGCTTGCGAGTCCGCGGCAAGAAAGGAGACAGGTTCCCCTAAGGTGAAAGGGGATAGTAGGGCACCCTAGCCCGTAGGTTCAAAACTTTCCGCCAGTGTCGTTTTAACGGTTGAATGGAGGTCTGGGGATGAGTGTCTTTTAATATCGCTTCTTCCGAAGGGGGCTTTAAGGTCTGACCGCTCCCCCCTCCCCTTGTCCCTGGTGTGGGAGAATTTGAACTCTTGCTTTCTAGGCGCTCCTGGGAGTTTCTCAGCAACCCAAACTTTCCCGGCACCCGCGGACCGGTAGATGACTCAGTTCTGTAATCTCACTTGGAAGCTTCTCGGGTGGGGGCTTCCAGCAGACGGTTGATTAGTCCCCGCTCCTCTCAGGTCTCAGCCACGACGCAAATATGAGCATCTGGCTGCTAGACACTGGAAGAGTCTGCTTTTGACAGAACTGCGGCAGGAGCAATCACGTTTTGCAGAGGTGAATTGAGTCGATGCGGGCTGACTATATTGATAAAGCAGTATAAAAATTCCAAATAGGTTATCATTTAAAAAATTAATTCGTTTTTTAATACTAAAGCAACACACGTAAATCCGTTTTTAATTTTTTATTAGAATTCAAAGTTGAATGGTAGTGATGTAAAGTAATTTTCTGGTGAAATATTCCCCGAGCTGGGGCCACGAGGTCTTTCCTGTGAGACCGAGCCTTTCCTTAGGAAAAGTCTGACTTCTTTTGGAGGGGCTTCCAGGAAGCGGTGGGCGCTTGGGAGAGCCATGCCTCACCCCACGCCTGCCCTAGGAGGAGAGGTGCGCCTGGGTTCCCAGCTGGCACGTGCGCTTTGGGCCCTGAAGATGCGGCGCGCAAGCCAGCTAGGGGAAACCGGTCTCTGGTCACGCACTCCCTTTTAGTACGCCGCGCTGTTTAGTAGGTCCCCTTCCTGGTTAGTGATGTCCAGGCTCTAGTACGACTGGACAGGACCTGTGTCTGAGTTACCCCTGCCCTCCCAACCCTCCCGTAGAAGGTAGATTCGCGAACACTCTTGCTTTGCCGGGTGCGTTTTGGCGACTGGTTTGTTTCTGAAGGTTACATCAGGAGAATACTGCTGAGGACCTTGGACAATCTGGGACAGTTTCTCTGTTTCCTCCCGGTCCCTCCCTGCTCTCCCAGATGTTCCCAGGTCTTTCTCAGCCGTGCTACGACTACACAAGGCCGAGATCGGCTCTGGAATCACCTCATGGTTAGGTCGGGTGCATTAGGACCTGAGGCCCCGGGGGTCGTACACATTAGGCGCTTTCTCCTTGTGCCCAGATCTGAGGTCAGTCTCCGGTGTCCCGCAGCTTCCGGGCGTCCCCTCAGAACTCCCTAGAGAGGAAGTTTTGCAAGTGATCCGGACTCACATAGGGGCGTGGTTGGGAAAGTTGCTCGAATCCCCACGAAGCAGCGCACGTTGTACACCTATGCGCACACCCCGAGGCAACAATGCGCGCTTGTCCGCGACCCCCTTTCGGGTCCCCTTACAGCAGGCGTTAGGAGTCTAAGGCCATCGTGCCAGAGTCAGGGACTAGTCTGGTGGCAGGGTCGGGCCAGTGCCTGGAGGGGGAAGGCCTTCTGTGTACAGGACATCTTCAGGGAAGGAGGTCGTCAGCGGCGATCCAGCCCTGTTCTTGTCTTAGCTTGGCTAGGACCTGCCTTTGCTGGAACCCGACAGCTTTCTGCAAGTGCTGGCATCCATGGGAGGTCCTCATACCTTCCCTCCGCTGGTCTTTCACTGTTCTTCCTTATTTTCATTTAAACGTGTGCTTAGGGAGAGTAGGATTTCCACGCCACGTTCAACTTGTTTTGGCAGACATAGTGCAAATATAGGCTTCTGCCTGAGACTTCCGGCGGCAGAGGGTGGGTGGTGGGTGAGAACTTTGCAACAAAGGGAGGAACTTCCAGAGGGACTGAGCCTGTTGAGACTTCCTGTCTCTGGAAGCTTAAAGGAGAGGATTGTATTGACAACCTCAAATAACATTGGAATTTTGGTTAGAATATGAGATTAGGAGAAAAAGGACTCTTCATCACTAAGCAGTAGGTAAGACAGAGTTTTTGCAACAAGACTCTGGAATGACTGGGGTTTGCAAAGTTATTATAACTTGCTATTAGGAATTTCTCCCCAGAGAAATGAAATAGTAGAAATTAAGAGTGCTTTCACAAGACAGGAACTATAAGAAGTCTATGTACTGATTGCTGTAACTTTTCTTGGGACATAATATCAAATAATT